CTTTTTAAATAGTTATAAAGATATTAATAATATTATATTTTAGAATATTAAATTATAAAGAGTATAATATAGCTTTAAGATAATTATTATTATAGGTTTATCTAATATTATCTTTATTTTTTTTTAAAAATAATATTATTTCTTATTCTCGCTTTAAGATTTGTCTTATTATTATTTTTTAATCTAATTATAATATATTAATAAAATCTAATTTAATTTAATTATTAAAAATAATAAAATTTATTATTTAGAATAAAATCTTTATATAGAATTATTATAATATCAAGATTATCGATTATATATTTTAAAATATTTAAAAGAATTTACTTCTTTTAATAATATAGTTATATATTTCTATAATAATTTTTATTAAATTTTTTTAATTATTAAAAATATTAAATTAAATTAAATTATTTAAATTATATTAAAAATATTTTATTTTTAAAATTATATTTAAATTTTTAGATTTATAAAAAATATAAGACTTTAAAATCTTAAATTAATTAAATAAGATTTAATTAATATAGAGAAATTTATTTAAAAACTATTAAATATAGATAGTAATATCTTAATAAGCTTTAAAAGATAAAAAGTTATTAATTAGTTTATTAATTAATTATTAGATAACTCTATTACTTAGCTAATTAATATTATTTATAATAATTTTAACTTATATTAAATAGCTAATTTCTATATATTTAAAGCGATTTTTTATATTTTTAATAAGAATATCGCTTAATTTAATAATTAAATCTTTAATAAGTTTTTTAAAATTAAGATTATTTATAATAGTAAAAATTAAGTTATTAATAAAAAAGATAGTTTTCTTTTATTTATTTATTAAAATAATAAATATCTTTAAATTAGTTTTACTTCTATCTTATTATTTAATATTAAAATAACTTTATATAATAAAATATATTTATAAATTAAATATATTAAATCTAAGATATTCGATTATTATATTTTTAAAAATAAATATAATAATAAATAATATTATATATTATATATCTCTCTAATTTCGTCTAATTTAAACGATCTATATACTCTCTTTTAATATATTTAATTTCTAATTTAATTAGTCTTTAATATAATAATTAATAAATTTTAAAATTAATTATTATAATAGATTAATCTATATTTATATTTTAAGATTTTTATCTATAATTAATTATATATAACTCTAAGTCGAGTTATTAATAAGATTAATCTATTAATTATAATTTTAAATAATCTATTAAAAAGATAATCTACTCGATTAACGAGATATATTAAGACTAAGATTATTAAATAACTACTTTTTTTCTAAATAATAATATAATTAATTAATAATTTATAGTAATAGAAGTAGATTATTTATTATATAGAAAGTAAATAAAATTTAATTTAATTTAAAATTAGAGCTTTTATCTTCTTTATTAATTTTATAATAATAAAAATAAATTAAAAATATATAGTAAGCGATTAGAGTTTGATTTAACTTAGAGCTAAAGCTAAAATTTTATTTAACTTAAAAAATCTAACTTTATTTAATTTAGAAAAATCTAACTCTATAAATTTAATTTATAGGCCTTTACTTATTACTTATTAAAAATATATTTATTTTATTAAAAATACTCTTTAATATAAACTGAGATAGTCGAGTAATAATAAATTTAACAAATTTTAAAACTATTTTACTTCGTTCCCGATTTAGATCTATAGATCTCTCTCTCTAAAAAATCGTAAAATTATAAACTTATAAAAATTATAAAAATCGTAAAGTTCGTAAAATTCGTAAAATTCGTAAAATTGATAAAAATTCTATAAATTATAAAAATAAAAATAAACGAAAATAATAAATATAAACTATAATGAATATTAAAATTAACTTCTTATTTATTAAAATTAATTTAATTTAAATTTAATTAATTCTCTTTAAATTTATTATTAATATAACTTTTCTTTTTTCTATTAAATTTTTTTAACTTTTTTTAAATTATAGAATATAATTTATTTTTTTTATATAATTTAAAAATTATATAATTCGATTTTATAGTTCTAAATAAATCTTAAATTAAAATATTTTTACTCTTCGAGAATCGAATATAATCTCGAAATTAGATTTAAAAATTAATTACTTTTTATAAAATTAATTTATAAACTTAAACTTATAATTATTAATTAGATTTAAGATTACTAGTATTAAAGAATAAAGAGTTTAGATAATAATATACTCGCTAAGATTAATTAAATTTCTTAAATTTATATCGATATCTTTATAATTTAACTTTATATTATCTATCTTCTAATTAATATATATTTTAAATATATTAATTTTAGTCTTTTTACGATCGTAATATTATTTAATTATCTTATCTTTTTATAATATTACGAGTAAAGGCATATAAATTAAATTTATAATTTTTTTATTAATTAGAGCTATCGAGTAAATTTAATAAGCGATCTTTAATAAGCGATATTTGAGTACCTCGCTTTTTAATAGTTATAAGCTTAAATCTTAAAATTCTTAAAGCATTTATAATCGTAATCTACGCTCTATAATTTAAAAAAAAATTTAAAATTTTAATAGAAAATAGTAAAGTTATTAAATAATTAAAAGTAAGTTATAAATATTAATTTATTTATTTACGATATCTTATTAAAAAGTATAGCGAATCTAAATTTATAATTAATTATATATATAAATTTAAGATTTTATAACTTAACTTTATCTTATTCTATTATATATATTAATATTATAATAAACTAAATTTTAATTTATAAAATTAAAGTTATAATATATAATATAATTTATAAGTCTTATTAAAGACTAAGTAGAATTTAAATAAGAGTTAAAAAATATATTAAAAAAATATAAATTATCGAAAAAGTTATTATAAAAGAAATTTATTAATAAGTCTTATAAGAGAGTTTTTTTTATAGCGTTTTTCTCTCGTTTTAAAGCTTTTTCTTAATAATATTTAGAATATAATACGCGTTAAAAGACTTTAAAATAGAGTAATAAAGAATAAATAGAGGAGAAAAGTATATTTTAAAAGATAATATAACTAGATTAAAAGATATTATCGTTAATTTAGAAGAAGTATATAAAAAAATTTAATAAACTCGTTTAAACTCTTTTTAAAAATCTTTTAATACGTTTATAAGTAATAGTAAATAGCTATTAAACTCGCTTATAACCTCGATTACTAATAATAGCGAATTCGCTAAGAGATAATTTAAAGATATTAATAAGAGCTTTAAAAGATAAGTAAAAGAAATATATATATCTTAAATATTAAATAATCTTTAAATAAAGAATATCGAGAATAAATATATTTATATTAATGAACTTAAAAATTAAAAAAGTAATAAAAAAAATTATATAAATAAATAAGAGAATTTTTAGAGTTAGAGTTAACGTTTTATATACTTATATTTAAATAATAATTTACTTTATAAATAGTAGATTAAACTTTATAAATTTATATCGTTAGAAAGTATAAAATAAGCTTTATAATTTAAGTAATTATTAAGTTATTATATTTAACGTAATTTAAGTACTTTAAAATATAAAACTTTTATATATAGATTTTTAATAAAAAAGTATAAGAGAGCTAGCGAGTTAATATAGTGGATTTAATTAAAGAGTATAGTAAATTTAAATTTATAATTAGCTATATATATAAATTTAAAATTTTATAAGTTAACTTTATCTTATTCTTTTATATATATTAATAATTCTTTATTCTATAAATAATAAATTAAACTTTATAAACTTTATATTCTTAGAGATTATAGAACGAGCTATATAATTTAAAAATATATAAATAATTTTATCTATTATAAGTTAAGAATTTTAAAATATAAGAATTTAATATTTAAACTTTTAATAGATAATTTTAAAAAAGTTAGCGATTTATTTTTAAATAATTTAATTAAAGAATTTATTAAACTCGAATTTATAGATAATAAATTATTTATATATATATATATATATAGATAAACTTAATTTAATTCTATTTTATTCTCTTATATAAATACGAGTAAAAATTTATATTTTATTTTTTTTTTAATTAAAGCTATCGAGTAAATTTAATAAGCGATCTTTGATAAGCGATCTTTAATAAGCGATATTTAAATTCGTTATCTTTAAAGAACTATTAGATTAAATTTTAAAATTCTTTTGTTTTTAAAAAGTAAAACTTATAATTTATAGTTTAAAAAAATTATTAAATTTTATTAGAAAATAGTAAAGTAATTAAAAGATTAAACGTAGAAAAAGATATTCTAATAGTTATAAATATTAATTTATTTACTCGCGATATTTAATTAAAAAGCGTAAATCTATTTAAATTATAATTAATTATATATATAAATTTAAGATTTTCTAGCTTATCTCTATTTTATTCTATTATATATATTAATTAATTATCTTTTTTTTATTTCTAATAATTATAGTATAATTAAAAATACTAATAAATAAATAAATAGAAAAAAGAATTAAGAATTAAATTTAATAAATTTAATTAAATAAATTAATATTATAATTAATATTATTATATCTAAATATATTTAAATATTTTCTCTTCTATTATAAAAGTTTATTATCTTTTTAAATCGTTTAATATAATTATAGATATTATATATATTTAGTTCTAAATTTAAAATAATAAGAGAATCTATACGTAGGTTTCGGAAGCGATAACCTCTAAGAAATAAGAAGAGAAACGTTAGTAATAGAATACTATACAGTATGGATATCGAAGCTCTGGATGATCTGGTCAGCTTGAGGCTCTCTAGCCCTTCCAGGATTGCCGCCAGTGAGGCAATTTACATTCCTATCAGTATGCCCTTCTGACATCTCCGTGGCTCTCATGAGGAGTAGAGCAATCGTGGTCAATGTTTTTGGGCCTTCTTCTCAAGCACCCAAAAGTAGAGCCTTCGCAATCACTTTCACCCGCCTCCTCAACCAGCTTCAGCTATGCTGTTGCCTCTATTGTAACACTTCTGAAAGCTCAGTCTGAATCATCCGAGGGCCCTATTCGTTGCTGCTTTGGTTCTATAACCGGCAAGTCATCATCTCTTCCCGTCTTTCTCTTCGCCATTGCTCGCGCTTGTTCGTATATCTTAGTCGCACGCTCGCCTAGGCCCCAATCGACAATGTTGCTGATGTCTCGCTGAAACCTTTCAGTGGTCGCGTCCAGCCCGTGTTGCAGTGAGTACTGATCCAGAACGCTCGTATGCCAGTACACTGCGCCATTGCTCCAGAGCTCCCGCCAGTTGACGAACATAAAGCAGGAATTTGGCGCAATAGCCACGGTAAAGCAGATAGAGTCAGGGTCTGGATCGGAGTTGTCCTTGTCGACATCGACTTGTGGTAGACTGGTGAAGGGCCCCGAACGCGGCTTGCCCCTGGCTTCATCATTCCAGTCGGCTGTGTAGGATACGATGGCACTACCAGTGCGCTGGCACTGGACTTCTGCTTCAGCAATAGGTCGATCCTTGGTCTTGACTTCGCCCGCTAGGAAGGGATGATGGATTTGTTTGGTGAGAGGTTTAGATACGGTCCTGTCGAAGATAGCTAGGCAGGTTTCAAGGCGTTAGCCCCCATTCTGGACGATGTAATGTATCCAAATGTTTTAGAGCAGGTTCAAGATACGTCAGAGGGTACTTGCCGCAGTATTTATTGGGCAGCAGGTCGGTACTAAGACCATAAATGAGGTCTGGCTCTGGGTTTTGCAATCTGGGCAAACTGTCGTAGATCTTCTCGAACGATCCTTCAGCCGCAACAGCTTGAGGAACTGAACTCTCGCGAAACTTCGCTTTTGTCCGACGACCTGCGATTTGCCGGCGCATCAGCCTCCGAGTACACCATCCAAAAAAGCCCTTAGACTGCCAGAAAGGCCAACAGGAGACGAAAGTCACTTACCCAGGAGATCTTCGCTCCAAGCTTTGGGATCTGGCATGAAATCGTCGACTGCTAGAGCTTGCCCTGGCGCAATCCCAGGATTGGGCACCATGCGGGCCTCATCAAGAAGGATACCAAGGAGCTTGCAAGCGAAGTCGTTCTCACCGAGGATGGAATATTTTTTGGCAATTGCCTGCAGCGCAGGGACCTTTTCCTTTGCAGTCGGTGAGCCTCTTGAGCGGCCGAGGATTGCACGAGCTAGATCTATAATGGCAGCGCCACGTGTCCTATACAGGAATTCGAAATGTGAGCGATTCCTCGAAAGCCTTGAAGATCTCTTGCAGAGTCCCAGTTCAGGGCTGAAGAACTGAGCATAGTACTCCTTGACAGGCCTAAGCAGTTTCAAAACAGCCCCAAAATTGGGTAGAGTAGCTGACAGGACAGGGTGTTAGGGTGCACATAGAGATCAAGACAACGTACCTTGCGTCTGGATCATTGTAAAAGTGGTGTTGCTTCTCGAACTCTTTCTGTGCCTGCTCCGGAGTCATGCCAGGTGACGATTCCTTCAGAGTCGAGCTGAAGTCTAAGTTTGGTGGTGAGGAAGGAAGATTGTAGCTGTTTGGAGAGTGAACTCCTTCGAGACCCTTAGAGATATGGACTGGTGGTGAAGAGGTGTCGTAGAGGCTAGGGAGTTGAGCTCTTTCAATCCTACTGGGGACATGAACGGGCGAGGGAGGGATATCGTAGCTGTCAGGAAAAGGATCTCCTTCGATGCCACTTGGATGGTCAGCTTGAGGCGAAGGAACGTCGTAGCTATCAGGAAAGGTATGCTTTGCGATACCTCGGGGAAAGTGAGATTCCAGAGAAGGAAGGTGATCGTTGGCAGGAGAGTCAGATGTTTGGATACCGCTCGAGACGTGACGGCTGGCACTTTGATGCTTGATCTCACTGTCGGAGTCCTTGCCTACAGCCTCAGTTAATATGCGAGGGGAGTCGCAAGTTTCTCCTGAGGTGGTGGATGAGGCTGGAGGTGAGCCTGACTCGTAATGCACGGGCAGCCGACCTTGCTCGTGTTGTTGCTCAATAGATAAGCTACGGGCACGTTTGGCTGATGGTGTCTGGACCTGAGCAACGTCTATGTCATCAAGTTTGCGAATTCTTTCCATTGCGCCATTGACTTTAAGGGAAGATGAAAGTTGTAATATCTGGTGACTCGTGAGCTACTTTGTTGATGAAAGGTAACGAGGGGAAGCGCGTATGAAGCGCATACTTAGTTTCATAGGAAACGCGAAATAGTAGGAAACGCGAAACTTTTAGACACGATAAGTCCGATCTAACGATTAATATTTAATTCTTATTAGAATTCTATAGTAACTTTAAATAATAAGAATAAAAACATCTAAATCTTTCTTAGTATTAAGACTTATATATTAAATTTTTTTAATTTTTTTTATATCTTATCGATTTATTACTTTATAAAAATTATATTTTTTCTTTTATTATCTCTTCTTTTATTACTTTATCTTATATATTTTTCTAATTTATTTATCTTTTTAATCGCTTCTATCTCTTTTAATTATTATTACTATTATAGAAAAGTCTATAAAAAAGTCTTTAAGAGAGTTTATAATAAGATTTTTATAATAGTAAGAGATAGTAATTTTATTAAATCTAGCGTAAGAAATATAATATTTTTCTTTTAAATAAACCTTTATATATCTTTATATCTTTAAAAATAGCTATTTTAATATAAGAATATTTTAAAAATTTCTATATAAACTATTTTATAGCGAAGTTATTCTTTCGCTATTAAATAGTATTAAAATTAAAAATTAAAAATTAATCTTAATATACTTATTTAAATATAAAAAAAAAGAAAATTACTTATATATCTTAATAAAATTACTATTAATAATTTTAAATAAGATATTAATAGTAAGTATTATAAACGTATTATTATTATATTACTTAATTCTATAATCTAATAAATTTTAATAAAGATATTTTTAATTATAATATATCTTCTTTCTATTTATAAAATTTAATAGTTTTATTATTCTATTTATCTTATTTTTATAAAATAATTTTATATTAATTCTAATATTATAATAAATATTAATATATATAAAAGAATAAGAATTTACTAGTCGAAAAGATATAATATATTTTATAAGATATTTTATATTAAGTAATATTATATCGTATTTAAATATAATATAAATAGAGTCGAATATTATATTATTTTTCTAATATAAGTTCGAGATCTTAATAAGATATTCTACGATATAATATATCTATAATATTATATTATAATATAATATATATATAAAATATCTCGATTGAAATTTCTATATTTATAGAATAATTCGACTAAGATATATAGAATATATTTATTCTTCTTTATTAAGAGAGAGGAAATATAAAGAGTAATTTAATATAGCTATTTATCTTTTTATTAATATTAATAATTAGAATAATAATTAGAACTATAAGCGTCTCTATTCTTCTTCTTAAAATTATAATATAAAAGAATATTCTAAATTTTAAATCTTTAAATATTATAAAAATAAAATTCTATAATTATCTCTATTTATATATTTATCTTAACGCGTTAAATAAGCTTAATAAACTTTATATTTATTCTTCTCTTAAACTCTATCTCACTCTTCTATTCTACTTTATCTTAATTCTTTTAAATATTCTAAATCTATCTCTATTTAATTAAATTTATTAATTATTTATAAATAGATTTACTTTTTAAATTATCTTAAATCTCTTTTTCGAGATTAAATTTATTATTATTAATTCTCTCTAATTATAAATTTATTAATTATTTCTCTATATATTATAAAGTATTAATAATATATCTTAATAAACTTATAAATATTAGACTTATCGAAATACTTTTTATAAATTTATTATCTTTATTAATATAATTATTATAAATATTAATTAAGTTTTTATATAAAATACTATTAGCTCTTTTAATCTAATTCGATATATTAAGATCTTCTTTAAAATTAAGTTTAATCTATTTAAGCTTATTTTCTTAATATTTTATATAAAAAATTATTATTAGAGTATAAAATATCGCTAATAAATAATACTTTTAAATACTATAATATTTTTTAGCTATTAAGAAATATCGCTTATACGTAATAGTTCTCGCGAAAGAATAAAGAATATTATAAGTTATTCGAGTAATTATAGCGTATTTAGATTTTAATTTCTTTTATTACTTTAAAATTAAAAGATTCGCTAGATTATTAAAAGAAGCTTTATAAAGATTAGAAGTAAGATTATAATTAGAATAATAATTAGAAGATTTATTATTTTTTCTATATTACTAAAGCTAATTATATCTATTCTTATTATTTAAATTCTTAATCTTAAATTCTATCGCTTAATTAAATATATTTTTATTTAATTAATTTATTCGCTTAGCTCTTTATAATTAACTACTTATATTAATATTTTAATAATTTTAGAATATCTTTTTAAATACTTCTTAGTAAATCTTTATCTATAGCTTCTCTCTAATATTAATCTTTTAATTTAATTTCTTTAACTTTATATTATTATAATTTAAATATAAAAATATAATTTATTTATATAGATAGTTTAAATCTAATTAAATTCGATTATAATAGATAATTAATTTCTTATAAATCGCCTTAAAAAATTTAAAAAATTCTTTTTTCTAAAAAACTCTCTTTCTTTTTAATTTTTCGAGCTTTTTATTTATATAATTAAATAGATAATTATAAATATTAAAAATATAGTAAATTATAATTTTTTTTTCTCTACTTATTAATTTTATAAATTTATAAAAAAATTTAATAAGTTAAATTAAATATTAAATTTATTAGAAATTAATTAAAAATTATTTAGACGCTTAGATTATAATTTCTATTTATAATTATTTTTTATTACTTAATCTTAAATAGATAGTTAATCTATTTTTTAAAAAGTGTATAATATTAATATAAAGAAGTAGAGCGCGAATTAATATCTAATAAATTAAATTTTAACGAGTCTTAATATTCTAAAAAAGCTTAAAAAGGCGTTTTTAATAATATTACTTTTTTTTAGAAGATTAATATTTATTTAATATTAAAATATCTTTATTTTAAAGCCGTTTAACTTATAATATAAAAAAAAACTTTCTTACGCTAGCCGCTAATATTAATATATATAATAATTTTTTAAATTTTAATATAATTAATAATATAATAATTAGAATAATAATAAGAAATATTATATCTATTACGAGCGTATTCTTAATATACTACTTAGCCCTCAGTCCTATGGCTAGCGAGCCTTAACGGAGATATCTTCTACTATATTATATCTCCTTTCTATCTATATAATTCGATAGTCTTATTATTCTATCTATCTTATCTATACTAATATTATATCTATACTAGTTCTAATATTATAATAAAACTTCTTTATATATCTAATAAAGAGAAATATATATAGACTAATTAATATATACTTATATCTATTCGAATTAGCGAATGAATAGTTAATAAATAAACGCGCTAATAAGAGCTTTATTAAGATATTAACTTAAGATTAAGATATTATAATTAATTAAGATTAAGATAGAAACTTGAGATATTATATTCTTGAATTAGTCTATTAAATAGGTAATTTATTTTAATATAATAAAATGGTTTTTAGATAGTAGAAGGGATAAAGTATTATTAAATTATTCGTATTATAAGCGAATTAGAAAGAAATTAATAGATAATACTACTCTATTATAGTAAGTCTACTATAATAATAATAAAAATAGCCTCGAAATAATATATATCGATCTCTTTATTAAGTATATTAATAATATATATAATAAGTCTACTATAATAATAGTAAATATATAATCTCTTTATTAAGTATATCGATAATATATATAATAAGCCTACTATTAAATGGTATTTATTATATTTAATTCTTTCTCTATCTTTCTACTAAATTTATTAATTAATAAGCGCGGTTAAGTTAAGATAAAGGATGGAATAGAGAATAGATTTTTAATAATAAGAGTATAGAAGATATAGAGTAAATCTATAGTAAAGCTTTTAGACTAAACTACTAATTGATATTAAGAAAATTTTATAATATATTTATATATTGAATTTTCTTTAATTCTATTAAAGGATTATAATAAGAAAATTAGATAAGAAGAAGAATTTAAAGAATCTTATTAGCACGTAGATAAGATATAAATTATATCTTTAGAATCTCTATAGAGTAATATAATAGATATAATATAGTTAAGATTAATATACGACTTAATAATATTATTATATCTCGATAAATCTTCTTTAATTAAGATCTATAGAGATTATAAATATTTAAAGATATAAGATAAGTAGTAAGCGTATATCTTCGATTTACTAGCTATAGAAGCTATAATTATTAAGAGAAAAGAGATAGTATTATAAGCGTATTTTTAATATATTATTTAGCCCTTAGTTTTATAACTAGCGAGCCTTAGCGAAGACATCTTCTATTATATTATATCTTCTTTCTATCTATATAGTTTAATAGTCTTATTATTCTATCTATCTCACCTATACTAATATCGCATCTATACTAGTTCTAATAATATCTTTATTAAGGTTATTAATAGATTAATTATATTTATTTAAACTTAATTCTTATCTTCTTTATTACTCTAGCTTTTTTAAAATTTCTTATTTATTAAAGTAACTTTAATATTATCTAGAAGTTCTTTTAAGATTAATTAAATAATATACGCTATATAAAAAATATATTATAAATAATTTAAGAATTTAAATTCTTTAATATTAAGTGGATTATTTATTACGAAAATAGAAAAATAAATAATTAAATCTTTAAAAAGTATACTATGATTACTAGCGTTATTAGTTATAAATTTAAATATATAAAATTAAATCTTATATTCTATAAGAATTAGATTAATAATACTTATAAGTTTCTAATTAATATATTTATCTTTAATATATTTAAAGCTTATAAGAATCTTATATTATTATTAATTAATATTAATAAAAAAGATTAAGATTATTATAAATATTTAATAATTATAAAATAATTAATAATTTAAAATTAAAGAGACTTTAATATTATTAATTAATAAATTCTTTAATAATTTTATTTCTAGCTCTATAGCTTT